GGCTGCGCGTCCTCCCCGCTGTGGCCGTTCACAGACGCCAGCTCTCTGCGCAGCTGGACGAACTGCTCGGTCGTCAGGAAGTCTCGCGGCAAGTTGTTCTGTATGTGCTCTTTAAACCTAGGGATGGCCAGAAACGGGTCAGCACAAACCTGACGTTCCCCGCCGCGACGCCCTGCCGGGCCAGAGCAGGGTAACGATCCCCAGCGAGGCTCTGCCCCGCTCCGTCGGCCCGCGGCCACGCCGAGAACGCCGCTTCTGACAACACACACGCACTGCGCAACTTCTGCTGCCTATCAGACTTCAAAAGCTTCACGTCTCAAAGAGAAATGAAAGGATGACCAACTCCAGCGGCGAAGACAGGCCACTTGCCACATAAAACTGGTGGCAAAGGGCATCAGAGGAAGATGCTTCAATTCCAAAACCAAACGACCTGTAGAAATTAGGGGGAAAACTGGTGCCTAACTTCACCAAGGTTTCTGGCTCCCTCTTAACCTCTCCGTATTAACGCAGAATTCTGCCATCTAAAACTTCAAGTACTTCTCCTCAGTCAGTTAAATTAGTGCTTCACACGTGAGCAGCAGGAGTTCAAAGTTCAAAACGGAGTTCAAAGTTCAAAACGGCTCATTCTGATTTGTCAGACATCCTCTCTTCTCCCTCACAGCTCCAAGGCCTTCCTTCATTCCACAGCCCAGTCTGTGAATCCACCTAGAACCAACTTCCTCAAGTGTTCTCAGTACTTTCGAACAACCAAACTGCAGAGAACAGAGCTAAGCCCCCAACACTGAGCAACTCTTTCAAGTTCTTGAACGTTTTCCCATTTACAGAAGTTCGTTAGCGGGTGCTTAAGCAGCTCAGAGCATTAACGAAACCTTTGTTTCCTCTTTACCTCTGGAAGTGATGACTGTAGAGTTGCGTTGGAATTCCAAGGATGCGGTCATAGATGGATGTCACCTCCCTCAGGTTGCCCTGTTCGTTTTCCCAGTTTATATACATCTCCCACAGTCTGTCAGAACGGAAATCTGTCCCAGCAGCCAGGACTGCATGTTCATAGGCTCTGCAAAAGGAAATCATTTTACAGTTGCTTCTGGACGCGGGGACAGAACAAGGAAGGGAAGTTCTGGCTCTTACTCAGAGGTTACGAGCATCCTCCTTTACGTGCAACCGCACCGATGCTCATTAGTTAAACTCTCCAGAGGGTTTTCTAGGTACCTGTGGCAAGATCTCTAGGAACGCAGAAAGTTCACGCTCGCTTTTCTTTCCCCCAGCACTGCCACCGCCGAACAAACAAGGCAAAGGAACGAGCCACCCGCAGGAACGCGAGGCTCCAGGAAAACACGCGGCTCCTACCCCTCCTCCCTCGTGAGGCCGCTAAGCCCACGCCCCCAGCAGCCCGGCTCAACAAAGCCTTACATCAGCCACGCAGCTAGAACCTGCTTCCGCTAAAGACCAATTCAGGTTTGGCTCAAACCTTCGTCCGACCTCTTGTCCGACCTCTTCCTCAGCGCAGGACCGCTGCCAGCGGCAGACGAGGTCGGACACATCCTGGCCACGCCTTGGAAACTTCCAAGGAACTAAATCCCAAGAATTCTCTGGGAAGGCTGTTCCAGCGCTGCACTAAGCATTTCCTGACGTCGAGCCTGAAGCTCTCACGTCGCCACGTCTGCCCCTCGCTGCGCACCGCGCCGTCTGCCCCTTCGGAGGGAACGCGGCTCCAGCACCCCTCAGAAGCCCCCAGAGCAGCTGCAGGCCGCCAGCAGCCGGCCCCTTACCTCAAGCACAGCCCCCCGCCGGCACGGCTGCGCGCGGGCCCTGGCACCACTCGGTCTGCTGCCAACTTACCCTCGGATCGTACTGTTGGTTTCGGGGTCAGCAGGGTCCAAGGTCTCCTTTAGGAAGTTTATATAGTGTATCCAAAGATCAACACTAAGAGGAATTGCCTGAAGCCCTCTGCGATAAACCTATGAAGAGAACAGGAACTGTACCTCAAATACGCAACGGCGTCCCGATAGAGAGGCAACACTGTGTTATCCGGTGAACCTTAGAAATACTAATTACTGGAATTTTGTTTAAATAATCTACCATTACCATTTGGGTGGAGGTTGGATAGAACATGGCAATGTTCTGATCTCCACGTGCAGAGTCTTGATCTTCAAAGCGCAGCGGTCCCTGCATTCTGACCAGGTTGTGTGGGCAGGCTTTGGGGTACAGACCATAGGGCACAGACCCATTAGAGCATCATTGACAGCGTCTGACCAAAAATGCAATAAGATGGAGCAATTGTGACCAGCAAACCAACTATATTGTTTTGAAAACGAGCAATAAAGGTAAGTGACAGAAAAGCCCTGCCCTACTTGTTAAGCTGCAGTGTAATACAGAGGCTTGCACTGCAAAGCTTGACAAACTGTAGAGGTTTAACGCACCTGCCAACAAAGAGAGAAAACATTAGCTCCAAATGCCACAGCCGTGACACGTGCAAACAAAACCCCTACAAACCTGGCCACACAGGGCAGGCACTGCAGCCAAATGACTCGCAGCAGGTTCGTCATTGTTTGGCCAACAGGGCTGTCGGCAATGGCTGTGCCCGGCTGCCTACATACCTCATCCGACTGCTTCACGTTGTCGTGGCGCTTTTCCAGGTCCGCATACTTTTTCCAGTACCCATAGCAATAGGGGTAGTGCGTGAAAAACCTGTCAAATGCCTTCCTGGCAGCCGGGAGGTGGTTCTGCAAGACACACACATGGTAAGAGCCATGAAGCCTTTCCTTAAAGGAAAGTTCACGTTGCTTTAAATACAATTATCGTTCAAATATGGTCTTAAAAGGGATCATTTTCATTTTGGGATCTCTGCTGACGACACTGGCACGGGCAACTGTCTTAAACCGCCTCTGTGGAAGGCTGATGTACAGCCCTAGACCCATCACTGGAACACTCGTGACTGGTTGTCTGTGTGTATTTCTGGAAGGCTGTGGAGAAGGGGGCCGTGCGCTCACCTCCTGCTCCACGTACTGCAGCAGATACACCCATCCTGTGAAATCCTGGGGATTCTCCTCGACTACTTTCCAGAACTTGTCAAAGTCCGGAGGGAAGCACGCCTCGATATCGGACGTCTGCAAACTCTCGATGTTGGGGATTTCGCTCTCCTGCGTGTTCTCCTCGTTCAAGTCCGGGGAGCTGTCGGGTGACTGCTCCATCTCGGTCACACTCATGATTTCGGTACTGAAGTCCATCTGCTGCTCCTCTGCTGCCGGTTCGGTGCCGTTGTCCGTGCTGTCATTGCCTACGGCCGGCTGCTGCTTCTCCTCCTCCGTGCTATCTGCGTTCTCCATGGCTGAGGTTACTGCTGTCCCGCAGTACTGGAGCCTGAGGGAACGGAAGGATTCAGCACTCGTGCAGCCAAGATCCCAGCAGAGTCTGGGTGTGGACGACCAGCTAAGAGTCTCCCAAGTGCTCCAGGCATCCGCGTATTTCACCACAGACCTGCACCAATTAGACCTGCTTCACCCACGAGCCTCATTCACAATTTCAAAAACCACTGAATCACAGAATGGTGAAAAAGGCACAGAATCACTGTCAGCGCCAGGCTCTGTCCGTGCCCATGCCGTCCACACGGACCAGCCGGGACCAGCGGGCCAGGCAGGACGTTCAGGGCAGCCCCTTGCTCCGACGCACGCCTCGGGCGCTCCCTCCCGCCCCTCAGGACAGACTCCATCTCCCTCCCCCTCTCCGGTTTGATCTCCCTGCCAAGCGCCGCTGCCCAGCCCTCGGCTCGGCCCCTCCGCCCGCAGCCTGGGCCGAAGGACTCGGCCGAGCTGCCCCACGGTCGGGCCAGAGCCTCGCGGCTCGCAGCTGCGAACCTCTTGGGGACAAAGAGCCCCCCGAGACCACCACCCTCACAGGCACTGCAGCAGCCACCCCTCCCATTCCCCTTCGGTTCTCCGCACAGGAGATGCCCGGTAAGTTTTGTTTTGCATGAAAAAACCCACCCAAAGAGCCCCCATCTCACTCTGCACCTCCAGAATTCTTTCCCACCGAAAGCCCCAAGAGAGCCCAAGCAGATCGTGTGCATTCGCTTCACAAACACATCGATAAACCCCCAACACTACAGCGGGGGGGAACTAACTGAAAGGAAAGGCCCCTACACCCCATCTTCAGCAGCGCCAAGGCACGAGAGAGCAGCTCCTGTCCTCCCAGGAGTCCACCACGCCAAGGGACTCTGGCTCAGTGCTAAAGCTCCACGTGCTCTACTCTGCATGCTTTCTAATAACTGGTTTTAAAAGTGATTATTTATATTCTCCATCGTATACGTCACCTGGCAATCACACAAACCCAATTTCTTTCCTTTAAGGTAAACAGCTCATAATTTTGCAGCTTCACCCGGTTTATAGAAGCGGATGGTTTGTGCCACTCGAGCCACAGGAACGCGATGGGACCGCAGGGAGCAGCACCGCAGCGCTCTCGTTCCCAGGAAAAGCGGGCACTTGGGCCAGAGGAGCAGTTCGTTTCGCTAACGACTAGTCCTTCCCGCACCCTGAGCCGCTCTAGGGAGCCCCGCACCAAAAGGCAGCTTCCCCAGCGAGCGCTGGGGCTGCCTCCTCAGCACTGGCTTAGAGAATAAAGGTCATTTCTAAGGTGGGAAATTCCGTACCCAAGCAGCACCGCTCTGCCTCCATCCCTGCGACGCCCAGAAGCGAACTGCATCACTAGGACAGCCGCTGCCCCTCGGAGCTCACCTCTGTAAAGGTTCTAAAGGCACCAGAGGCGTGGGCTGGGCAAAAGGCAGCCCCGACCCGTGGAAAACCCCTTCAGAGGAGGTCACAGCTCTGGGGCCCGAGCGCGCCGATGCAGCTGTTTTTAAACACGCGGTAACGTACGACCTAAACTTATTCTGAGAGTTGGCAGGTGTTTTCCCCCTCCCGGTCATTTACAAGATGTGTTCCAGCTTAAGAACTCCCCCAAATCGAGCTGGTCTTCGGTTTAGGGGGAGAGAAAGAAGAGGCAGACGCGGTGCGGCACCCCCTCCGCCCGCCGGGTGCCA